AACTGTATGCAATTCAAAACACGTCACAGAAGCTTTGGATTGTTTAATCCTTGACAAAGACTGGAGTTGTACAGTCGAAAATTTGGGCAAGTCCAATTTCTTGTGTAGAAATTTTACAGCTTGCTCCACAATTAGGAAAACTTGACTTCCCATTATGTTTTATATATAGTAATGACAGGAACGTTGGGACTTGAGTGTCTTCAGTGCTTCGCCACTTCTCTTCCCTCCTCGTCCGAAGCCGTCGATCGTTGCCGAAACTTCACGAACCCAGCCGAAGCAGAGCCGTGCACAGACGGAAACGCCCGATATTGCTTCGTGCAAGAGAAAATTGTGGGTACGTTACAATCTCCAAACAGAGGTTTGAGTTTCGATTATTTTTGGCGTCCTTTTATGCTTTTTATAGGGCTTTCTTTTTTGCTGTGGTATCTTTTTTGTCGCCAACAATAAATATCAATAAAAAGAAAAAAAACACTTCGGTGGCTAATGGACACTGTCTTGCCAACGTAGATTATGCTTAGCCTCTACCAGGCTTCGGGAGGCGCATGGAAAAAGGAGAAATAGGGCAAATACTTATATATAGCGAGATAACATGCCGAGAGAGTTGGTCCGCTAGAGAGTGAATTCTGGTGCGGTAAAATGAACTCTCTAGCGGGCCAACTCCCTTGGGATGTTATCTTGCTATTTGACCGATATCGATTTCTACTCTTTCCTACCGCCTCCCGAAGCCAGGCACAGGCTAGACTATGCTTGGAGACAGATTATGATCAACCTCCTTGCTGTGATCGCCATTTTTGATCATTTTTATTTTCTTCTCCCCCAGCTGACAGAACTACTCAGTTCAACAGAGGATGCTCTCGTACTCAGGTTGGTGCGGGTTGTCGGGAAATGCCGGCCGGAACCAATCGTTGAAGGCACAGACTGCATCGTGTACTGCAACGACTTTCCGGGCTGCAATAATGCCACCAGCCGCGCTGTGGCGCTCCACGTTCGTTCTGTTGTTAACCTTAACCTGTTTATGGTAATGTCGTTCGGCTGTTTAACGTTTAAATTGTGTCTGTAAAATTCGTCATGAAAAGTACTACAAGGTATTGGAAATTTCATACCTCTATTAAGTATTTATGAAATATCTGTATCGTGTATTATTTGAATGTTTTGATTTGTGTTTATTATTATGTGATACCCTGCATCAATTCAGCCGTCTAAAGGCTGCGACTGCACGGGTACTGTTTGGACAATTTAAAAAAAAAATATCTATAGCTTATGTGTATTTACTACTGTTATCATATTTATTATGTAAGTAATATTTTCATTATCATTACATGTGTCGATTGGTCACTTTCTGTCACTTGGCGTTGATCGTGACTTGCATGTGGAAAATGGAAAAAAATCTGAAACACACAGTTATAAAGATTAAGGTCCTGATTTGATACAGCATGACTTAACTCATTTTCGCAGTGTGTATAACACTGAATTAAAATCGAATTTACATGTAAAAGGAATCTCAATTAGATAAAAACAGTTGCAATAAGTAAATTATTCTCGTTACAAAATGTACGCATTTGTATATTTGAATATGTCCTTTGGATGAACTTTGCCCTGGGGAGTCAAGGTGCCGAGGTAAAATGTTGTTTTGCGTGTATCAAGTTCCCACTATGTCAACAAACCGCGCCCATTGTAAGAGACCACGAAAACCACGTAAAGCGGTGCTCGAGGCGGCCCTACCTGCTACTTCACCATAGAAAGATACAACGAAATCCAACACTAAAGAGGTAAGTAACCATTTCTTAACTTTCTTTTCAATAACAGAGCTGTATTTAACGAAATTATCATGTACAGACGCACACTATGTTAGGTACAATAGCCTCCTGTGTAAAACCTTCTGGGTGAAATTCTAGTACGTTCAACTTCTAGGGTTGGTCTACCGATCAAACTTAGCCATATTAGAACTCGCGCGAAAGAAAACAGCCCAAATCATGCCATAGAAATCAGCCAGACAGTCACATGGAAGCTCTGCACGGAAGGCTACACTTATCTGGAGGTGGGTTCTAAACTGTGTTCTTCCTGTTCGCCATTTTGTTTTGATCACTGCGGATTGAAGTGAAGATGGGTTTGTAACTCTTTGCGAATAATAGTTGGTCACAGAGGGACATTGGGACATTTTAGAAGCCTCACCATGACCATTTTGTCCCAAAATTTGAACTTGAAGCCCGTGTATCTTTGTATATGGTGGTGAAAAAACAAGTGGGAATGCATACATAGTCTATACTTCCCCCATTTCTGATTTTAAATCATTCATGCTACATTCGATATTCAGATCGTAAATGTCCAGTCCTAAAAATAGATTAGCTACATGTAGGATTAAAACAAACGTAGAAAATGTTTTTTCATGATTATTTCCATTTTGGTGGCGAATTGTTTGCATAACTTTAGGTTTCAGTCCAGCAGGCTTGAATGCATGGGTTAGATGAGTCAGTGAGCACGAGGTATTCCTTTACAGCCAAAGGCATATGCACATTCTTTACTCATATCAGTGCATCAGTGTTTGTTTTTACAAGCTGTGTTATTGCAACTCGTTGGTGTTTATACTAATGTCGAAGATTCGCGCGTCCACCCATCTTCCTTTCGTCATTTTCCATACTAGTATCTGTTTCAATTTTTCATGTTCATTGCCTTCGAATTATATGATAAATAAACCGTGCCGTCGGTGGCGCAACGGTTAGAGCTAGCTGGCGTTGGACTCGGTACCGGGTTCGATACTCACCGTGACCCGACGTTGTGCACTTGCACTTTACACGCCTACCCCACCTGTACGGTGGAGTGACGCCCACCGAGCCTCTTAGGCTAATCTGTCTAACTCTGTTTGCCAATTAAAAAACACTCTACGGATTTGGTGCGCCAATGCATGTGTCAAAATCAGCACATTTGCCACCGAGAGCCATTAATTATTTGTTACTTAATGGCTAACGCAACACATACGACATATGCCCGTGACATTCTATCGTTTCATTTGTAATCGTTTTTATATTTTCTATGTTGTATTAATTAGTATTTGTTCTTTCTCCTTTGTATACCGTTGACTTTGTTTAATTCTCAATAATCTATATATATTTTAACTTTATATGTGTTTTTTTTTTGGATGTGTCTCC